TATATATACTTTTTTTTGGTTGTTTGTTGTTTATCATTATTTATTTTGTGTGTGTGAGTAGGTGCGGAACAACGGCAGCCCTCCTCGGCTGACGGTGCTTGAGTGATTCAGCTGTTTCCTCTTGTGTTTGATTAGGGAGACACACAAAATGTGCAGTGCTCGGGGGCGCCCAGGACCAGGGTTGAGAAACACTGATTTAGAGGGTGAGGCCAGTGAAGAGCTTCGCTATCGCTCAGGAGCAGAGAGGAAGGATCCACACCAAATCATTGCAGCATTACGCGAGTTATATGGGTGTACGCGATCATATGTAGCCTTGCAAGAATTGTTCTTTTCCCGGCGGCAGCAGGAGGGGGAGACCCTAGTGGAATTCTCCCTGGCTCTGATGAGCCTTTGGGAGAAGGTTAAAGAACAGGCACCGCATGTTATGCCCAATGCTGGCACCCTTTGGCGAGACCAGTTTGTTGAAAACGTAAATGATAGTACTCTCCGGCGAGAGCTGAAACAGCTGGTTCGGGGGAATCCCAAGATGACATTGTTAGACGTACTCCTCGAAGCAATTCGTTGGGAGCGGGAGGGGACCCCTGGGGCTGCGAGGGGACGTAGCCATTCTGTTCCTACTGCACACTGTATACAGTATGGGGTGCATGGACTTTCACAACCAGAGCGTAATACTGCGAGGGGTTCAGCAGAGCTGCAAGAGTTAAGGGAGATGATGAAGATGCAGCAGCAGCAATTGAACCAACTCACTCAGAATTTAGCCCAAATTCAGAGAATTCAACCAGAGGGCGGAGTAAGGCGACCTGGTCAGGTTATTTGTAGATGGTGTAAACAGCCGGGACATTTTGCAAGGGAGTGTGACGGGGAGCGTAGAGTTACTCAGTTTCAGTCTGCCTCCCCGGGAAGAAAGGCCGGTTCAGTCTCGCCAGCCGTCGGAAAATTAATCCCCACCGAGCAGTTGAGCCATCGCTCGGTTGGGAAAAGGAGTGGCTCAAGTAACTTGATTAGTTCTGACACTTTCACTCGCCTTGTGTCTGCATGCCCTCAGCTCGTTGTTTGTATGGGGGGTGTTTCTGTGCCCTGTCTAGTAGACACCGTCTCTATGGTGACTACTGTCACAGAAAGCTGTTTTACTGCTTGTTTTGAGCCTTGGGGCCCAGAACGCTTTCTGTCGTGCCAGTGGCTGCAATTGTCAATACCATATATCGGGTATCTAGAGTTAGATATCGAACTCTGTGGATTGCTGCTTCCAAGGTGTGGGGTGTTAGTGACTAGAGACCCCCCTGGCCGGCAGATTAGCCAGATCTCTGGAGTTTTAGGTATGAATGTTTTGGGCCGTTGCTACCAGGAGCTTTTTGGCCAATATGGCTCTGCCCTTTTTGAGGAACCGGCTGTGTTGCAGGCCTCCCGTTTATTTACGCAGGCTCTGCGATATTGTCATGCAGGTGCTAGTTCTGTTTTACCATCCAGGGGCCAGATTAAGGTGCGGGGTCGTTGTGTGAACCGCATCTCTGGGGGTACCTTGAAGTTGGTGGCTGCCACTTGCTCTGCCCAGTATTGTAATGGGACTGCTTTGTTGGAACCCCCCGAGGCAGGCCTTCCAGCCGGGTTGTTAGTATCCTCTGCTCTGGTGAAGGTGGACAGAGGAACAGTCTACGTTCCAGTGGTAAATGTTGGTATAATTGATATCGTCCTTTACCCACGTGTGTTTATTGGCACGTTGAGTCACGTGGATGTGGTAAGTTTGCCTTCTGAAGTTAAGTTCAAACAGCAGTAGTGTCAGCCAGCACTCAGGCAGTCTTAGTTACCCCAGTGCATGATCAGATTGACTCCTTGGACTTGCCCGTGTTGTCAACAGCCTACCAAGTAAGAGTTCGGGGCTTGTTGTCAAAGTATGAGTCTGTCTTTTCTGCATATGAGGGGGACCTGGGTTGTACAGACCTGATCTCCCATGACATTCCCCTTGTAGCTGATACCCCTATTAGGCAGCGACATCGACGAATACCTCCATCCGAGTATGAGGTCGTGAAGACTCATATCAACCAACTTCTCGAGGTGCAGATAATTAGGGAGAGTAGTAGCCCCTATGCATCACCAATTGTGCTGGTGAGGAAGAAGGATGGTGGTCTCCGGTTATGTGTAGACTACCACCGTCTGAATGCAAACACGAGGAAGGATGCTTATCCGTTACCCCATATCGAGGAAACCTTGGACTCACTGGCAGGTGCTCAATGGTTTTCAACCATGGATCTTGCCAGTGGGTACAATCAGGTCCCCGTTACAGAGGGGGACAGATATAAGACAGCCTTCTGTACTCCATTCAGCCTATTTGAGTAGAACAGGATGCCCTTTGGGCGGTGTAAAGCGGTTGATGCAGAGGTTATTCGGGGACCAACAGGGGCAGTCTCTCCTTCTGTACCTCGATGATATTGTTGTATTTTCGACTTCAGTTGATCAACATCTGGCTCGGATGGAGATGGCCTTGGATAGGCTGCAGAGGGAAGGGCTAAAGGCGAAGTTAGGGAAATGTTCGTTTTTCCAATGAGAGGTCAGGTATTTGGGTCATGTGGTCTCATCTGAAGGGGTTGCTACTGACCCAGGTAAGTATGAGGCAGTGACCCAATGGCGTTGCCCTACTACTGTAAGTGAGGTGCGTTCCTTTCTGGGATTTGCCAGTTATTACCGCCGGTTCGTGGAGGGGTTTGCCAAATTGGCTGCTCCCCTCCCCCTCATAGCGAGACTGGCGAACCCAAAGGGTACAAGGCATTCAGAACAAGATTTTGCGGCAGCCTGGTCTGTACAGTGTCAACAGAGCTTTGAGGAGTTGAAGGGGCGACTCACCACTGCCCCAGTACTCACCTATGCTGATTTCACCTTGCCTTTCATCCTGTAGGTGGACGCCAGCTATGGGGGGCTGGGGGCAGTCCTGTCCCAGAAACAGAAGTGTAAGGTGAGACCTATAGCCTACGCTAGTCGTGGTCTTCGGCCCAATGAGCGCAACATGGACAATTACAGCTCAATGAAACTTGAGTTTCTGGTGCTCATGTGGGCCATGAAAGAAACATTTAGGGAGTACTTGTTGGGCTACAAATGTGTGGTGTTCACCGATAACAACCCCCTCAGCCATATAGGTACTGCCAATCTGGGCGCCACTGAACAACGATGGGCAGCCCAGTTGGCTGCCTTTAATTTTGAGATCAGGTACAGGTCAGGTCGTAACAATAGGAACGCAGATGCCTTGTCTAGTCAGAATCCATCAACAAAGGAGGATGTGCAATGCCTGATCCCAGGGTTGGCTATCCCAGTGCGGATAGCTCAAATAGCCCAGGGGAATCAAGTAGCTCAGGTAAACCAGGTAACTGTATTTCCTGATTTGTCCAGGGAAGACATGCGGGTGGGTCAGGGGTCTGATCCACATATTGGTGAACTCCTAAAGCTTTGGCTACGACAGGCGCGCCCCAACACGGGAGGAGTGTAGACGGTTGCCTATGAGGCAGTTACACCAGCAACACGTGCATCCAGGTTGTGGAACGGACCACACAGCTTGTGCGACAACGGTGCTATTGGCCGGATATGTCATCTGAGATCACACAATGGTGTCAGGAGTGTGAGAGGTGTCAGCATACCAAGGGCCATCCTTCAAAGTTCAGTAGTTTTATGGGCCATTTGATGGCTTCCCGGCCAAACGAAATCTTGGCCATTGACTTTAAAGTTTTGGAACCTTCCCAGTCCGGCGTTGAGAATGTTATGGTCATGACTGACGTATTCTCTAAATATACATGGGCCGTGGCTACCAGAGACCAGCGGGCGGAGACTGTGGCGCAGGTTTTGGTGTCCGAGTGGTTTTGTAGGCTTGGTGTTCCAAGCCGCGTCCACTCGGATCAGGGACGGAATTTTGAGGCCGCTATCATTTACCAGCTTTGCCGCTTGTATGGTATTGAAAAGTCTCGCACTACTCCGTGCCATGCAGCTGGTAACGGACAGTGCGAGCGGTTTAATAGGACTTGTTGCGTTTGCTTCCAGGTTCTCAGAAGGGCAACTGGCCCTTGTGTCTTCCCCAAGTGCTATTCTCTTATAATAACACTCCCCACCAGAGTACTGGGGAGCCCCCACAGAGGAAATTGGAGATATGTTTGGGGTGGTACCTGAGACTGCAGATGGGGAAGCAGGTCCAGGGCCGCCAGTTGAACCCAGTATAGGGTCACCAGTCAGACTCTCATTGGGGCCCTCTGGACAAGAAGTTGTTCCTGTGGATAGTGTGGTGAGAGAGAGAGAGGTGGCTGTTGTAGCGCCCGCCACAGATAATGTGATGGGACAAAGAGGGTTGTTGGAACCTACCCCTCTTCAAGAGAATGGGAGTGTGGTGCGGCATACAAGGAGGCTGACGGCTGGTCAACATACAAATCTTAATCACCTCCCCCGGACGGTAAGAAGAGTAGGGCGCGAAGCAGGTGTAGGCAATAGCCCAGTGTCTAATGCCGTGGTTGCCTGGTTCAGGCCTTGGCATTAGAAATATAGGAGGGCATATTAAAGTATTCACCATCGGGTCGACGACAAAAAATGCCAGGGGTAGATTGTGACGGGATGGTTTATTCCTCCGGTTTTGAATGGATGGAAGGCGGGGCAGTTGGAAGCAATTGCCTGTCTATAAATAATCTTGGAGTTTCTATCATGGCGCGTCACTTCCGATTGTCTTGGGGGTTCCCCCTTCCGCTAGCATCCCATGTGCGTTTTGTCGTTCTTGACTTCACTCTTACTGTGTGCGATTTTATAATGGTGATCCTCTCTGGTCCACATTAGTGTACAAACGTGTGTGCTTTAATTTATTTTCAATTATTCTCTGTATAAAATATCAGAGTGGCGTAGTTGGGTTTCAGTACAGTTGAGCTCTTATTTCTAGCAATAGTTAGACCCTAGTGGTCTTTTCGCCCGTAGCCTCGCCACACATACATATGCGTATATATACACAAACACACACAAATACATAGATATATACTTACATGTGTGGATAGATAGATAGATAGATAAATAGATAGATAGATAGTGTACCCCCCACACCACACACATAACACTCATCTCACCCAGTCAGAAACACACACACTTCATCCCTCTCACACATATGTACTTACCTGCCACCCCCCACACACACACACACACAAAACACTCGCATACATATGATATCTTTAATGATATACACTGATCCCAGTACCCATGCACAGTAACTTGGTTGAGCAACTGCATAATTTCACTACATCTTGCTGGATAACTCTGTGTATGTCACAAATTATCTTTGTATTCTTCTATATCAATGGAAAGATCACATAATGTTAGTCAATGTTTGTTTGTCTTGTTTTACAGCATTCTACACATTTTCGGTCCTAGCCTGATGCAGTGCAGTTCTCCCAGGTTAAGGGGTCCCTGCTGCAGTTTCGCCAGTAAAGAAAATGACCCATTACAATTCACTTGGAGGATCACATAAGCCATGCAGTGGTGCATGGAGGTATGGTGGGAGCATTTCTCTAGATATTGATTGATTTTTGTGGTTTAAAATCATAAATATGCTTGTATGTAGAATGATGAGGTAAATGATGAGGTAAATACTTTTTAGTGGACACATATACCCCCCAACATGTATGTATTCTCTATTTTTAACAGCAGCGCCAATTGGACATCAAGTGGAAGTTTGTCACCGTGAGTTATTTTGTGGAGAGGTGACAGGGCCTGCCTTTCTCCAGATGGACAGTAAAAATCAACAGAATACCATCAAAGACTACCTGGGGGAGAATCAGATGAAGCAAGAGATTTATTTTTATTCATCTTTGAGTATCTGGAGGAGCTGGACATATTCATATCAAATTGTCTTGATGAACAAGACCTGAAGGTCCATGCCATGTTCTGTGAATAATCTATCAGAGCAAGCAATCTCTCTGTGTAGCCTATGTATGTATGTATGTATGTATGTGTGTGTACTGCATGTCAAGAACTGTTTACCTGATCATTCAGCTGCTCAGACTTTATAATAGTTGGAACATATATTTTGTTAAACACTACCAGTCAAACGTTTTTGAACAGTAAGATTTTTACATTTTTTAAGGTTTTAAAGAAATCTCTTCTGCTCACCAAGCCTGCATTTATTTGATCCAAAGTACAGCAAAAAAAATTAAAATATTTTTTCTATTTAAAATAACTTGTTTTCTATTTGAAACCGTTTTCTATATTTCTATTAAAATGTCATTTATTCCTGTTATTTCAAAGGTGACTTACTCCAGTCACATGATCCTTCAGAAATCATTCTAATATTCTGATTTGCTGCTCAAGAAACATTTATTATTATTATTATTATTATTATTATGTTGAAAACAGAAGAGTAGAATTTTTCCAGGTTTCTTTGATGAATAGAGAGTTCAGAAGAACAGCATTTATCTGAAATAGAAATCTTTTGTAACATTATAAATGTCTTTATC